CCCGGAACATCATTTTCCAGCCGTAGAAAGTGAGCACTTGGGAATCCACAATTCAATCATTTTAGGTGTGGCACCATTTGCAGCTCCCATCAAATTTCCATTCCGCTTGCTCCCACACCTTTGTACCCAGGTCCCCGAATTCTACCTTTTGTCTCTATACATCCACTCTCCTGAGCCAAGCCTCCAGAATCCTGACATGCATTTCCCACTGCTCAGTGCATCCGACGTATCCTGGGAAAAAAATCACCGTACATGGATGTCTCCAGTCAGTGTATGAAATATTCCAGGACATAGAGTTTAGAAGAAGGAGGTCTGTTCCTTGGGAGCCCTTGCCCTTGCCCACTTGACTCTTCTTTTTTCCTAATAAGCTCCAAAACATGGGTATGGGAGCTCCTCTCTGAGATTTGGTGGGCAAATCCCCCCAGCCCTCAACTCACAAACTTGTGCCAAGATGTTGTTGCTAGATTCGATCACTTCACTTCCGTCATTTGCTGGATGGTCATCTGTCTTTCCTGAAGTCCTTGCTATTCAGTCTCTTTTTATCCACATAAAACCCCCAGGGCATTTGGTGGGAGATGGCATTATGCTTTAATTAGCAAAACAGAGTCAATACAGAGAAGGTGTTGAGTGGGACCTTATTAGCACAGAGCAAGTCCAAGGCAAATAGATACATAAACGACCCTTCAGTCTACCTATGGACAGACTCAAATGCGTCAGATAGACTCAAGACTTGGGTCTGTTTGGGTGGCCAGAACTGCGATAAGGTACACAGTGCTCCTCCTAGCTTAGGAGGACATACTGCTCATATCAAAGAAAATCCAATACTTGGGAATGGGAGAGTATCAAAGGAAAGAGTCTGTGATATGGCCAACATGTAGTTCCTGGGCAGAACTTACAGATCTGCCACAACCCAAATCACCATTAAGTTCTAGGCCTTTGGACGTTGTTTTTCTGCTCCTCTGGCCCTGGTCCCAGGCCACAACCTCCTCTCCCCCTCCCCAAGTAAGAAGAGGCCACATAAAAGAGCTGTCAGCCAGGTACTGCAGACACTCAACTCAACACCTTGAGAGGTAAGTGTGGGTAAGAGTCTGGAGGCAGGAGCTTTAATCTGTGGCTTGCTTGGATGAGTTCCCTGACCAGGTGGTGTCAACACTATTCCTGTGAGATGGAGATTATTGTCTCTGGTGTTCCAAAAAGAAAATTGAGACAGAGGTGACACACCTGTCTGAGCCCTTGGAATGTGGAGTGGACATGAAACAAGGTACCAGTATTCTTGACTCTGAGTCCAAAACTTTCTCCTCTTTAACATTATCTGGAAAGCCCCAGGATGCTGAATTCTGAGGGGAGCAGTCTTTCTGTGTCTTTGTGATGCCTAGGGGCCTTATCATTGTCTGACACTCTATCTCAAGATGACCAAAGAATTCACCCAGAATTCTGTATGTGAGTGGTACCCAGCCTGGGTGTGATTATATTTCTCTTCTCTGGCTCAGTTAGTGCACCTGAAGTGTGCAAAGAAGGGCATTGGGCATGCGCAGGATCCTAAGTACCCTTTAAGGGAGGAACTCAGAAAACTGGACTAAGAGTGAGACCTCTTTTCATTGAACATATCTCAAAGTTTTGGAAAACTTAGATCTAGAATGATATTTTTAGATATAAATAAATAGCTTCATGGCACCCATGGCTTTGGATTTACAGTGTTTCTGTCAGTGTGCACCAGTCTTCCTCCTTCTTTGTGCAAAGGCAGTGTCCAGGACTCCAGCCCATCCCAGTGCATGCTCACCTTCACCCAGCTACCTCCTACCTCGTATCGCCACCTGTAAGTGGATGACAGAGCATCTGCATTGCTCATCTGCCTTGCTATGCACTGCTGCCTTCAGAGGATCACAAGAATACTCTGAGCCAGGCTCAAGAACTGGGTATCCAGGGTGCCTGGGTGGCTCAGTCGTTAAGCGTCTGCCTTCGGCTCAGGTCATGATCCCGGGCTCCTGGGATTGAGTCCCACGTTGGACTCCCTGCTCGGCGGGAAGCCTGCTTCTCCCTCTCCCACTCTCTCTGCTATCGCTATCTCTCTCTCTGTCAAATAAATAAAATAAATCTTAAAAAAAAAAAAAAAAGAACTGGGTATCCTGCCACCTCAAACTGGCTTTCTGGGGCAAACTATGTGAGTGATTTATAGGATTTCTGGCAACCTACCATGCTCAGTGATAGTTCGCCTTTGGCCTGGAGCTTCACCAATGAGGTTTTATCCTTTGGTAAATATTGCGCAATGGTAAATGAAGTCTCAATACCTTCACTTGACAGTTTTCCTTCATCAAGCCATGCTGAGGCCAGCTGGCAGGGACACGGGTTCTGAATGGAGAAAGTTGGAGAACAGATGTAAGCATCTAAGATGGAAGCTCCCCAACATCTGATCTTTTACATTTTAAAGGCTTCTCTCCTCCTTTGCTTTCTCTCCATAATCTCCTTCTCTTGTTCTTCTCCTCAGGTCTCCTAAATCCAACCTGCTCAAAGTCAATGTGTCTAAGATTCACATGCCTAAAACTTGCTTGTTTCCAGCTTCTAAATTTCACTTCTTCTGAAAGGAGAATAAGCTTTCAAAGCCCCCTTTGAAAAATTTTGCACCTTTTAAATGATCTCTAGTAGGACACTTGCTTTTGAGCAGAGGAATTTGGGTTGATTCTTCTAGAGCAGCGTTGTTCACTAGAACTTTCAGGGATGATGGAAATGTTGTATGTCTGAGCTGTCTAATATAATAGCCGCTAGCTACATGTGGCTACTGAATGCTTGAAATGACTAGAAGCCGAATTTTAAATTTAACTAAAATTGTCACATGTGGGTAGTGGCTACCATATTGGACAGTGCAGAGGAGGCTCTTCTGCCTGGTGGAAAATATCGGAAGAAATACAAAGACTTCCAGGGAGAAGGACAATCACTGCCTTGTGACCATGTAATTCATAACATTGGAATTTTACTCTTTTCTTGGGCTCTTTCTTTCCCCCCCTTCCTCTTTGGTTTTAGGATGGTAAAGCAGCAGATAAAGGTAAAGGGGACAGATGGGAGAGCTCTGGGAATTTTGAGTGGTAATTAAAGCTCCTCCTTCCTTGTCCCACCTTCCCCCACCCCTCAGCTGCCAGTTGTCAGCCGGGTATATCCTCTTCTGCTTCATTGTTTTCGCCTTAATAATTACTACTATCTATGGGGAAATGATTATGATAGTGATAGCTGAATTATTGTCATTACTTGTATGAGGTGATCATATTATTTTGTCTCTCCCACCTGTCTATTTTATTCAGATTGGTTAGTTGTTTCCTTGCCTCTTCAAGAAAACTTAGGTAGGTCCCCAAATTTTGTGTGACTCTTCAGTCGCAAAACATCTCAACTTAATAATCAAATGCGCAGGCCCATGTAATTAGCCACAACTCCACAACTGTTGAGAACTGAGGGCTCTCCCCTCCCTCAGAAGCTCTAGTTGTGGAAAAGGGTCAGTATCTCCATCTTGGGCTCTTCGTGATTCTGTTCCTTCACCCCCATCTGGCTATAAAAAGTTTCTGTCTCGGGCACCTGGGCGGCTCAGTCAGTTAAGTGTCTGCCTTCAGCTCAGGTCATGATCCCAGGGTCCTGGGATCGAGTCCCACACTGGGCTCCCTGCTCAGCAGGGAGTCTGCTTCTCCCTCTCCCTCTGCTGTTCTCTCTCTCTCTCTGTCAAATAAACAAACAAAATCTTAAAAAAAAAAAAAAGTTTCTGTTTCCTAGGTAGTAGAGGCAGGAAGAACCAATAAGCAGGAGTAGGACAGTTCTCACACAGTACGTACTCTCATAAGCTGACTTGGTGCTTCTGGCACTCTTTCATGGGAGATTTCAAGGGTTCACTGCAGACAGAAAATGGCATCTGGCCATTTACAATTCAGATGTGCCCGAACTGCAGCTCTCTTCTTTGGTACTATAGGCCACTTTAGAGCCTTCAGTCATGACTCAGGTCTACAGGATCCTTACAGATTTCTGGAGACACACAGTAAACTCTATGAGTAGTACCCACAAAGCCTTTTATCTCAACTTGGAATTAGAAGACAGCTTCCCCACTTACTCAAACAGAGCTTTTTCGCAATAGAATCTTCAAAACCCTCTCTACAATTCATTCAACTTCGGATCATCTATTTAGATGAAAGTTTTAAGAGTCCCCTGACCAGTTCGTTTCTGACCATCAACTTTCTCAAGTCCTACGTAGTAACCCATGTCACATAACTCACTCTGGAATCACTCTGGTACTCTGACTTAGGGTCTGAACTAACAATTCCATTATATTATCCTATTACATATGTTCTTAAGTGAACAAATCAGGGCACTTGATGGGTTCTGTTATTCCAAGTTCGTAAAAATAATGAGTACAACAAAAAGGGACATACATACACTGGTTATCCCTCGGGGGTGGAATTCCTAATGCGTATCCACTTCCTTGACGTGTTTCATTTTTGTTTTTGACAAACGATACAAGCTGAAGATTTATTACTTTTTAATCAGAAAAAAGCCATGCATTCTCAAAAGAAATAATTTTTTTAAAGATTTTATTTATTTATTTACTTGAGAGAGAGAGAGAAAGAGAAACAGCATGAGAGGGGATAGGGTCAGAGGGAGAAGCAGGCTCTCCGCCGACCTGGGAGCCCGATGTGGGACTCGATCCCAGGACTCCGGGATCATGACCTGAGCCGAAGGCAGTTGCTTAACCAACTGAGCCACCCAGGCGCCCTCAAAAGAAATTATTTTGCAAAGGAAGTGGCATGTAATTTGAGAGGGGGAAGTAGCCTGAGGAAGCCAATGGCTAGCTTGACATGTTGTTAGGTGCCAGAGGGTGAAAAGTAAAAGAAGGGGAAAGAATAATCGAATATTCACAAGCACTTTCTCTCTCTGACCTTATTCACCTTAATTCCTGTTCTACCCATAGCGGCATTGGGAGAAGACCTGTCTTCTGCCAGAACTCAACCCAAACACACAGAGAGATGACCATGAAGCCCTGGGTTCTCCTACTCATCATGCTCATCTATGGGGTTGTGATGCTTCCGCCTGTGCTGGGAGGCCTCAAGAACGAGACTTTTTGTAGGTGGTATGACATGGGAGGAGGGGGCTCTGCCCAAGCCTGGCATGTCTGGGGTAAGTGATTCTGGGACCACCTTTCCTGGATCACAACGCTCCTTAAAGCAGAGACATCCAAGAAAGATTTCTGTTGGGTGTTCCGAATTTGGTGCCCCTCCATGCTCCCCCTTGGAGCTCTGACAACAATAATGGGTATACAGAAAGGGAACATAGCTTAATCTATAAGTCCATCCCATAAGCTAGCAAGAAATGATATTTTCCAATGTTAGGCTACCTTAGACAGGGGAAACACCAACACAGAGCTTTCCTCTGAGCCCATATTTTCAGATCTCTGTGCCTTTGATGAATTCCAATAGGGCAATATTATTTACTTGGAAGGGAAAAATCTTTTAGAATATGAAAAAGTGGAAAAGACAAAAAAGGGATCCTTAGGAGTCAAAGTTTGGGGTCAGATGATTAAATGGGGATAAAGAAGGGAGGGTTATGGGCCAGTGAAAGAGATGGAATTTGGGGAGAGGCTGAGTGCTTAGCAGGTATGAGTAGAGAAGCAAATAGACAAGGGAGAAAATAGGTACCCATTCTCCCCCAGCTCAGTTTTCCATTCTGTAAATTGGGTATGGAAAGTGGAGCTAGACAATACTGCCATCCCTGAAATCCCAAGTCCAGTGAGAATAGACTTGGTGAGGTGGTGCCATAGATGGTGAGGTTGTCCTGGGTCCTATCTTTAGGGAGCTTGGGGAGGGCCCAAAGGCCTGCAGTTCTGTGGGGACATGTGAAAAGAGGGAAGGCATGTGATGTAAGAAGGGTCTCCTGTGAGAAGACACAGCTAAAAGTCAAGGAAAGGAATTTCTTAAAATGTAGAGAAACATTTTGTTTATGACTTTGAGCTCAGGTTTCAGAGCTAGGGGAATGTTAAGCTTGAGAAGCATTTCTTCTCTAAGACGTGGGTGGATGGATCGACCATCTACCATCATCTACCATCTACCATCTACCATCTACCATCTCAGTTCCAGCTGGAAGAATAGTCACTGAGCAGTGCTGGTACAGCCTCCATTAAAGTATTGTGAGAAGAGGTGCACTAAATTACAAGAGTGTTTATCTCCCAATCATACATGCTGTTGGACCTTCTGTGGAAACATCTGCTTGGACAATAGGTGAGTTGGTTAGAGTGGGAAGTTCGGGCGTGGACATGCTTCCTCACTACTGGTCAGAAGCTGTGACATGGAATAGATATACCCAAATCCTGCTCAAAGAAACAGGCAGGATAAGGCAATGTCCTCCTATCTCCATACCTAGCTGCCATTCGGGGCAAAAAACCCAAGACACCAATGTGGGGTGAGGGGGCTCCACTTTCCATCCTTTGCTTTCATTCAGTTCCCCCAAAGGCCTACCCATCAGTTTGTTCATCCCTCTTTTGTCCAAGGCCATGACTATTGCCTCCTTGGTCTGGCGTCTCCATTGGCTCCTTGTCTCAGGCAGGCCCAAAGAGACCCCATCTCCACCTATCTGCCCAGTTGGCAAATCTCTTGGGAGAAATAGTTTAAAATGGGTAACTCCTGATAGTACAGAAAAAAAAATTCTGTTCCCATTGACAGGGACCAGGGTGCTATTAAGTTTGGGAATGGAGGTCCCCATGGTTCCCCGACTTTTAACCACTTGACTTGTCTCTTCCAGAGAACCCTTTAAATCCATGCTAAACCCCTAGGTTCTAGCTGGCACACCACTAGTGTGGGCTAGAGGATGACTATGTAGTCTAAGAAGTAAGAAGAGTGCTTCCTGGACCCCTGTTCGGTTATTCACTTGCCTGGCTGAGGACCCTTCATTATCCCCTTGATCTCTCTACCCTGAGAAAGCTCAGGTCTCTGCCAAATAAACTGATAACCAACCTGAGGGCTCTGCATTGTGTCATACTCCATTCCTGTGGTTCCTTTCTGTCTTTACAATGACCAATGGTTGTTCCCATCCAACTCTGCCTTCCCTGTTAGACCTATATATTAGTCAATAGACTCGCATCTGTAGCAAAAAATGCAGAGATTTATAAAAACCTCACTAAACAGCGTAAAAGTTTATTCTCATTCACAATACATTTCACTGTAGGTGGTCGGTGAACGACCCCCATGCCATGCATGAGTCAAGGACCCTGAATCCTTCTATCTATAACTCATCCTCTCCCAGGGACTCCACCGCATCCAGCCAGCAGATGGGAGAAGAACGGGCAGCATGGAGGCTCCTACAGAAGGGTTTTAATGGCCAGGCCTAGAAGTGGGGCTCTGTTTCCATCCACATTCTATTTGCCCTAATGTAGTCAGAGGGTTGCCTTATTTGCAAAGGAGACTGGGAAATACAGTCTAGCTGTATGCCCAAGGACAACAGAAAGCAGGATTTGGTGAACTCATGGTGGTCTCTGAACTGTATACTTATGCAAAGCCAAACGCCTCAGCAAGACCCAAGACCCTGACCTCCACATCACTGTCTAATGGAACAAGCACTGCCCCCGCCCAGCATGAGAGAAGGCATTCCTGCCCTCAAGGTGGGCACTCTGAGCTTCCAGAATGATTCCTCCTTCTGCAATATCCGTATCCGCTCACTCCCACCTGTTTTGTTTGCCTGGTAGTTTTACCTGGGTAATATTATTCATATCCTGAGCTGTCTGCTCATTCCAGGCAGGCTTTCCAGCCCCTACTGTTCCCCTAGATTATATTGAATTTCTACCATTAGTATCTTGAAGAACTTCCCTTGGATGAGGAGATTATAAGGTCCCTACAATGTATTCATATCTGTGCCCCTTCCTGGTCCAGAGAATGAGATATTCTCTTTTAGATGGGATGAGTCAGCATATCACACTTATCAACTGTAGACCCCATGGAAAGGTTCCAGAATGGGATACAGCCAAGACCAAGGCCAGGCAAGGGACTGAGGCCTAACAGAACACTGGTCAGTGTCCCAGAGCTCAGAGTAAGGAAAAGGCACAAGGACTCAGGGGCTCAGGTAAACATCCTTCAGGAGTGGGGCTTTGTCTTGACCTTCAGGGATAAAGAGCACTTGGAGCTCGATTGAGTGAAAGTGGCTATTCCTTCCTGACCAAAGAAGTAAGAGAAGAACAAGAGGTTAGGGACCCCCAGTGGAAGGACCAGGGAAGGAAAGCGTTGTCCACTTGAGGATCCTGGATATTACCGGGAAAGAAAAGCCATTTTTCCTCTGTCCTTCCGGGTTCTTGGCGGAGACCCCCTGCGATAAGAGACAGATTAGCAGGAGAAAAAGGAACAGAAGTTTACTAACATGTGTACCTCCACTCTACATGGGACAGACCCGGAAAACTCAAGTCACTGCCCCAAATGGTCCAAGCCGTCTTCTTCAATACCACCTTCAGCTAAAAACAAAAGATGTGGAAAGGAAGGAGAAGGCCAGTTTTGGGAGGTCACCAGGAAGGCACAGTGAACAATGGTATGGTTGTTATGCAGATTTCTGCCACAGGCTCCACTGATAAAGAGTTTCTAGAGGTTGAAAGTCATCCTTCTCTTCCACTTACAGAGAGACGGACACCCTTACAAATGGAGATTTCCCTCATCCACGTACATGTCTCTTATGAAGGGGAGCAAATTTTGCCAGGCCAAGTTCTGCCTCTTTAGCATATTGATTATTTGAAGCTGGTTATTTTTAAGAAACAGCAGACACAGGTGAAGCTCTGAAAACCGAGTAGAAGTTAACCTGTTTGTAAGAGACTGTCTAATGCAATCCTGGGTCATTGAGAGGTGGAAGGGAGAGAAGATGTGTTGCCCCAGGTGAGCAGTTGCTTAACTTTGGAGTTTTGACTTTCTTATTTCAAGGCATCTTCCCCGATTTTCCTCCCTTTGAACATCTGAAGGCCTTTTATTCAGTTCATCCTGGGCATTCTGAAAAGGATGTCATTTTAAGGGGGACAGTTAGTTCCTTGACAATCAGAATATCAGAATTGTACACTTCGGGTCACCTCTTCTATTTCTTGTTCTACTTGGGACAGAAATGGGAGCACACTGGTAGTAAGAAGGTAGAGCCAAAGAACGCACCCCTAGCTGAAGCCGCTCATCCTAAGCATCCTGTAAGTAGTTGCTTTTCCTCCGTGGGGGCTCAGAAAGTCCTCGGCCTCTGCACCAGCGCTTCTGGGCTCCAGGGCCATACCTAGAAGCCCTGGGGACTTCCCTTCACCATCATGGTGGCCCTTCACACTCTCCTAGATTAGGGAGCCCGTTTCCTAGATCCCACCTCTCCCTCGTTCTTAACGACCTCATTTTGTAACATACACGCCACAGGAGCTTCCTGAGAGAGAACGTGAGAAATAAGTAAAATAGAGACTTCTTATGCCTCCATTCTACATTAATACCACTTTGGCTGGTATTTCAGGTTGGATAAGTTTCCGCTGTGTGATGATAGGAACAACAAAGAAAACAGTGGCTTAGATAAGACAGGTCCATCTTTGTTCACGTGGAAGATTCAGGTATTCGGGATCCAGAACACGTTTGGGGACAACACAAAACCATGGAAGATCCAGGCTCCTTCACCTTTTTGCTCCATTGTCCTTGACATGAAGTTTCCATTTCCAAGATCATCACCACCTCATGACCCACAAGGTCTAAGCAAGATATTAAATATGCCCCTCACCCGGGGCACCTGTGTGGCTCAGTCGCTGGGCGTCTGCCTTCAGCTCAGGTCATGATCCCAGGGTCCTGGGATCGAGCCCCGCATCGGGCTCCCTGCTCAGCGGGAAGCCTGCTTCTCCCTCTCCCGCTCCCCCTGCTTGTGTTCCCTCTCTCACTGTCTCTCTCTCTCTGTCAAAGAAATAAATAAAATCTTAAATATATATATATGCCCCTCACCCAAGAATAAAATTCAGACAGATTAAAAAGTTAAATCAAAGTAAGAAAATTTCAACCATAGCCAAACTAGAGGAAAATGGAATACAGTATTCCTCAAAACTGGAGGAGGAAAGGCTCTGTGGCCTTGATAATAAAATGGCACTGTGGTGCAGCATTTTAAAAAATATTAATCGAGCTCTTGTTTTTCTTTTTCTGCAATTCCTTGTTTTTCCATCAAGCCCTTTGAACATGAAATGAGGACATGAAGCTGAGGTTTTTTTCCCCCAGGGAAAAGGGATCACAAAATAAACCAGTGAGGATGGAGTCATGTTCATGGGTCTGAGGGCCAAAACAGTTTTGAAAGCCATTATTGCTCATTGAGAGGGAAAAGTTGTCGGTGGGAAGGAAGACACAGGAAGAGTGGGTTAGGAAGAAACGGAAACAGCCATATAGGTTTGGAAATCCCAGCACAGAAATGGGACCACCCGTTAAACAGGATATTTGTTTTTTGTTTTTATTATGTTATGTTAATCACCATACATTACATCATTAGTTTTTGCTGTGGTGTTAAACAGGGTATTTGAATATGATCTTTTGTTTTCTACTGCTGCTGTAACAAGTCATCACAAATTTAGGAGCTTAAGCCACACAAATCATTATCTTACAGTTCCCTAGGTCAGAAGTCCCACACAGGTCTCATGCCTTACAATCAAGGTGTCGGCAGGGCTGGGCTCCTTTTTGCGTTTGGTCTCTAGGAGGAAGGATCCATGTGTGTGTTCATTCAGATTGTTGCCAGAATTCAGAGCCTTGAAGATGTAAGACTGAGGTCTCCGTTTCCTTGCCGCTGTCGGCCGAGGGCCGTTTTCAGCTTCTAGAGGCCACTCACATGCTTCGGCATGGGCTCCATTCCTCCATCCTCAGAGCCAGCAAGGGTCAGCTGGGTCCTCACGCTTCAGATCTTAGCTTCTTCTGCTGCTCTCTAACCCACTGCAGCCAGGAAACTTACACCAGTCCCACCTGGCTCCCCATCTAGGTCCCTACCCTTCATCACATCCGCAAAGCCCCTTTACCTCCTCAGGTCAGGAAGCCCCTTTACCTCCTCAGGTCAGCATTACCACCCAGGTTCCAGGGACTAACACATGGGCATCTTTACAGGGGCCTCTATCCCCTTTACCTCTGCTTACACTTAAAACCTGACTAAAATGTTGTGAGAGAGAAAAAACCACATTAACACACAAGGTCAAAGAGAACAGGAGAGGAAACGGTAAATAAGCGTCTTTAAGACATTGAAAGCTAGAAAAAGATGGCTAAGATGCCAAATTCTTTCATTAGAAAAGACAAAACCAGACTGCCTGGAGGATATGTCCCGATTCATGCCAGTTTGGGGGGCAGGCTGGGTGAGGACTACATAGCTAGCTGAATTAACCAAAGAACCACAGAAAGTCTGAGAACTGAGCCATCAGGTGTCTGAAGGTGGAGATGTGCATGTGGTTGAAAAGAGGTTGTTATGAAAGCCTGTTTAAGAAGCAGTCAAGGGGCGCCTGGGTGGCTCAGTTGTTAAGTGTCTGCCTTCAGCTTAAGTCATGATCCCAGGGTTCTGGGATCGAGCCCCGCATCGGGCTCCCTGCCCTGCGGGAAGCCTGCTTTCCCTCTCCCACTCCCCCTGCTTGTGTTCCCTCTCACGCTGTGTCTCTCTCTGTCAAATAAATAAATAAAATCTTAAAAAAAAAAGAAGCAGTCAAAACTTGCTTTTATTCATTGTCTTTATTTGCTGTATGTAAATTCAGCGGTCTTTTTTTGCGGGGTATGATCCCATTTGTGTATATATTTTTTATTTTTTTTATTATGTTCAGTTAGCCAGCATATAATACATCATTAGTTTTTGACGTGGTGTTCAACGATTCATTAGTTGCGTATAACAGCCAGTGCTCAGCTGTCTTTCACCATTCTCAAATCTCTTGAAACTCTTCGGGACTCTCTGAAATTCAACTCCTTCACAGAAGAATACCTCAAGGCCCACTGCTTTCTTCTTGAGATATTTGAAGATATCCAACAGGATTTGCTGTATCAACCCGGTGCTTGCCTCCCTCCCACAGTGATCATGGTTATCAATCTATGTACGTATTTCTCTAGCGTTCAAAATATTATGCCATGCCCTGGTGACTCACTACAGCTTTCTAGGGCCTACAGAGCTCTCATAGTTTATTTTCTTGTGCACAGAAGAATCATGAACACATTTTATGTGGTCAGACTTGGGTGTGTCCATTGTTCAAATGCTGGACACCTAGCAATTTTACTTCTAATATTGTGGGATTTTTCAGGCCCCTTGGCTCATGCCAACCAAATTCATAAGGCTTCATTTTTGTAGAAGATATTTTCACTTAGTAACGTGGGGAAGATGATATCGATAATGCACAATATGTGTAAACAAAGTGAGCATGGAGCAAACTGAGGTATGAGGCAGGGACTATACATTCTCTTGCCTGGGTTTGTGGCATTTTTGAATGCACAGTTCCTTAGAGAATTTTTTTTTAATCTGGATAGGTGTGATGCAGGTAAAGTCAAACTGTTGCTTTTAACCTCTCCAGTGCGTCCACACTTGGATTTTTTTTTTGCTCCCACAGTGTGATGGAACTTCTCTGTTACACTCCTGGACTTCCACAAAGCTCTGTCATCTGTGGGTGATTGTCTAAATGAGTGTTCTCCAGTGGCTCCTGGACTGTGGCTGAGGGGGGTTAGAGTCAGTCCTCAGGCCGCATCAGGGTGCCATGCCAAGATTGAGGTCTCTATGCCAATGACCCAACCCATGGGTCAGACTCCTCCTGGGTCCCTTGGCGTATGGTGCTGGATCTGCAGCCTCCTCCAAGGTACTTTGGTCTGTGGGGTGGATGCCAAATTGTGTGGGGGCTGGGGTGGTGGGGGCAAGTTCAAGCAGGAGGTCCTATTCAGACATCTTGCTGATGTCACTCCCGAAAAGGACCTTAAAAGAATTGAATGATATAAAATTAGTGTATCTACAAAAATTGTAAATTGAGTATGCTTTAAAAATGAAATGGAGTGGGGGGTGGGGTGGGAGGGATGGGGTGACTGGGTGATAGACACTGGTGAGGGTATGTGCTCTGGTAAGCTCTGTGAATTGTGCAAGACTATTGAATCTCAGATCTGTACCTCTGAAACAAATGCAATATATGTTAAGAAAAAAAAAAAGAAGAAGATAGCAGGAGGGGAAGAATGAAGGGGGGGAAATCGGAGGGGGAGCCCAACCATGAGAGACGATGGACTCTGAAAAACAAACTGAGGGTTCTGGAGGGGAGGGGGGTGGGAGGATGGGTTAGCCTGGTGATGGGTATTAAAGAGGGCACGTTCTGCATGGAGCACTGGGTGTTATGCACAAACAATGAATCATGGAACACTACATCTAAAACTAATGATGTAATGTATGGTGATTAACATAACAATAAAAATTAATAAAAAAAATGAAATGTGCTGGTATCATTCAGGAGCTAATTCTTGTTAAACACGAACAATGTGGGGGAAATTCAGGCTTAGAATAAATTGTTCCTCTTCAAATTTTGTAATCAGTTTTTAAAAGTCTCTGGTGATTTTTAAATTTTAATTTACTTACATTTATGGACACTCTTAAATGGCTTTTAAAATATACTACAATACATACACAATAAATACGTATGAATTTTCTATTGGGAAGTCAGTTCTAAAACTATCTATGAAAATGAATGACACTGTTATCTCTTTAGGTAATGGATAACTGATCGTATCTTATTAGTTTTCTTTGTACTTCTGTGTCTTTCAAATTTCTAAAATAAGTGATAAATTATGAATTCATTTGTGCAATGAGAGAAGTAGAAAGCATAAGAGAAGGAAAGAACCTCAGGAGAGAAAAATGCCCAACCAAGGAGTGGTGCATGGAGGAGAGGAGGTAGAACCAGATGGGCAGTGAGAGACCAATCACGTGTTCTCCCAACTCCACACCCCAAAGCCCTTCACTACCCCCTGCAGGACCTAGTAAAATCCTGGGTCTCCTGCCAGGCTCACACTCAAACATCCAGAGTTAACATCATGAAGTGGTTGGTTCTCCAGCTGCTGACACTCTACTGCCTGGTGATCATGCCAGTGACAGGAGGTATAGGAGAAAAACCTGAGCCTGTAACTAAGCGTCCAGATTTCAGTAGGTATTCTGGTTGAGCTTCAAAATGAAGAGGGGGTAGAAAACAAGGAACCAGGACTGGCATATGGGAAAGCACTGGTTCCTTTTTTAAGCCAGGATACCTGAGGAAAGCTGAATGTGCAGTTGTCAAGTTTGATGGTCTCCTGATGTTACGAGAAACAATGTTTTTATGTGTGTGGTGGGGACTGTGGTGGCTACATGGTGTTTTGGTTGAGGAGGACCCGTAGAAGTGGAAAGCTCCACAGGGTTCAAGGCCCGCGTGGAATGTGCCTAGCTTGAGCCACCAGGAGTTCGCGTCCTCCAGCTAGGGGCTCCAAGGATGAGCACCAAATTGGGAAAAGGGTACTAATTATTTCTTGAAATATGCCCTTTGTTTAGGGAATTGAGTATTTGAGAATATTGGGCATGGGGAGGAGAAATAAAATGGGTGCTTGACCAAGAGAAGTTTGGAATCACTAGGGTAAGAAAATTAAAATCAGCAGAATTGAGCGTAGTGGGTCCATAACTGCTGGCAAAGGTTTCTGGGGGAACAGCTAGGTTTGGAAGGCTGTCTCAGCCTGACAGGGAAAAGTACAAGACAGTTCCTCCTCTTCTCTGGGACTCTGTTCTTCCCACCCTGTAAAATGAGAGCAGGAGACCAGAGGATCTCTTGGGCCTCTTTGTTCTGAGAACTGGGTCTCAGGATTCAGGTCCTGTGATGTTCAATTCCATGGAGGTGGCTTCCTGGTTGCTGGGTTTGCTATGGAGTGGGAGCTGGATTTTGACTCTAGGAATGGAAAAGGCCACCCAGATCCCATAAGCAGGCAGAAGAAGAAGAGAAACCAATGGAGTGGAAGCTGGGGCCTTAGAGGGGCTGATAATAGTGAGAAAAACTCTTCTTCTTCTTCTTGGAGTCACTACTCATGTGTTCCTTCTCAGTTTTAGTGTACCCAAAACTGAGAGAATGTTCAAGGAATCCCACCTGGTTCGAATGCTACAGAACATGCAAATATTCTTGGGATTGTGCTTTTGGCTTGGAATGCTGCTTTTCTGTCTGTGGAACTATCTGCTTGAATATCAGACAAATTGGTAAGATCTAATATTCACCCCTCTCTTACCATTAGATTCTCAAAGACTATGGAACCTGTAACTGTGAGGGAACAGACAGAAAAAGACTATGCCTCCCCTGTCCCGGTACCAATTCCAACCTGGGATCCCTACCTCTTCCTTCAGCCCAAGCCCTCATTGTCCACCTGCAAGCCTGCCTGATTTATCCAAACCTCAGGAGATCTGACATTTATGTCTCTGCTCACTGGACTTAAAACATCCTGAGAGAAGCCTTGTATGGGCATTTCCTAAACCACAGGAATATCCCTGCCCCCAGGGTTTGGGTGGATCTGTTACCCTCAAAGAAATGTGTTTCATCAGACTGTGTGGCCATTGAATACCTACCCCTTCTTTTTTCCAGAGACTTTCACTGAGAACACTTCACCTAGCACCAAGGCAGAAACTACTTTATATCCCACAACCACCACTGAGAGTTGGGATACAGGCATAAATTAATTCTACATGATGTCCAGTGGTATCATCGTCTTGTCCCAGCTGAGAGGCAAGGGGAGGGAGGGGGAGGGGCCCCGGGCGATGTCTCTCTTACTTGTTAACCCTCTTCCCCGAGCCATTATATTATCAGCCTCATTTCCCTGAAGAATAAACTATGACAGTAACCCAGAACCTCTCTCTTCTTCTATAGTACCAGTACCATTCCCTCCTTCCACCTTTTCCCTAAGCCCCCAACCCCTGCCTCCCAGTGGATTCCCTGCCTTCTCACCATTCCAAAGATTAAACTCCTTAGCCAAGACTCCTGGACTCTTTTGTTCATTGACTACCATCTCTGGGGGAAACTGTTTATGTGTGGGATGGTCTTATGGCTACCGAAAACACCATCCCTCTGGGTTCCCAGATCTTCTCAGTGCAGCCTTTCTTTCCTTATTTCAGGCCTGCAATTCTAGTAGGTTCCCACAAGCAGCCACCCTTTTAACTAATCCAGGGAAGTACAATCTTCCTTACAGGTGATAGGACCCATGGTCTAGAATTGAAAGGAAATGCCATTGACCTCTCCAACCTCTCCTCTCAGACATTGCCTTATTTGTTAGAATTATTTACTCAATCACTTGGAATTTGTAGGAATATTTTCAAATGTAAATACTCCTAGAAAGAATAGGCAACATTTATAGGGTTATAGAGAACCTACATTGTGCTCAGGCTTGTGGCAAGGACCACTCCTCATGAGTGAAGGTGTGACTATCTGTTGGCATATAGCCCAAAGAAGGGTTAAGTCTTATTATCCAAACAAGCAGAAACCAGCATGGGGCATGGCAAGAAGGGATGAATGGAATATACAGTCAGTACCTTAAGGTATAAATAAAGAGGGGTCATTATGTGCATCATGTTATCAGGTTTCCTGGAAGAAGAGATGCTTGGTCCCACCTTGAGGGATAGAGAAGAATTGGGGCAACTCAGAATGAAAGCTATTTTTCCTCCATGACAGGATTAAATATAGACTGGGGGGAGAAAAAAGGGAACTTGAAGGAAAGGAAAGGTTGATACCCTAGCCTCCTCCTGCCCCCAACACCAGCAAATGAAGTTGTGACAAGATTGGATTATAAATTTGTATTAAGCTCTGTGACCATAGGATATTATAATTTGCTAACTTTTCCTTTTGGCGTCTGTTGTTAAAACCATAAAACCTGCAGAGCAGAAGGATTATTTGCTAAAATTAACAAAGGAAAACAAACCAGCCTAGACAGGAGACTGATCCTACTCAAGTCCACTCAGTAGGTTGATGACTAATAGATATGTAGACCTCATTCTCTAAATGCCCCTGTACTTGAGTTTCCTGAAATACATATATGTCAGGGGCCAGAGATGTGCTTAAAATAGGGGGTCTAGTGGAGAATAGGGTTAAGGAGGGACGCTGTGCAGAAAGAGTGATAACTGAGATGGGCGAAGGAGGACAGGTCCATAGTGTTCTCCTGGATAAACAGGGGGTGATTGCCTTAGGACAAACCAATGAACTGTTTCCTGATAAGCAATTAGCATAAAGAAGCAGTTGAAAAGAACTCTGGAGCCACCAGGCAGATAGGACACTCTTACCAAGTAGATACATTAAGGAACACAGTGAGCCTTCAAAGCCCAGAGTTAACCCACTCTGGAAGCAGAATTGGGAGGTGACCAGTATCCAAATGTGGGGCTGGGAGACCCCAAAGGATCTCATTTTGCTTTCTTGGAAGGATTGGTCACAAGTAAACTGGCCTGCCATTGCCAGAAGCATAACTGACCAGCAGATAATTTTAACATAATTTCCAGCAACTGATAGACTAGGAAGACAAAACAAAAACAAAATACAACCAACCCAGTAAGGATCTAGAAGATTTGAACAACACAAATAAAAAGTGACTAACATATCAAAATGAATTCAGAGGGGTGCCTGGGTGGCTCAGTCGGTTAAGCAGCTGCCTTCGGCTCAGGTCATGATCCCAGGGTCCTGGGATCGAACCCTGCATCAGGCTCCTTGCTCAGCAGAGAGCCTGCTTCTCCCTCTCCCTCTGCCTGCCTGCCGCTCCCCCCGCTTGTGCTCTCTCTCTCTCTCTCTCCGTGTCAAATAAATAAATAAAATCTTTTAAAAAAATGGATTCAGAATTACTGTGGAATATACATTTTTAAATTTTATTTTGTTATGTTAATCACCATACATTACATCCTTAGTTTTTGATGTAGTGTTCCATGATTCATTGTTTGCATATAACACCCAGTGCTCCATGCAATACATGCCCTCCTTAATACCCATCACTGGGCTAACCCATCCCCCACCCCTCTCTCCTCTAAAACCCTCAGTTTGATTCCCGGAGTTCATAGCCTCTCATGGTTCGTCTCCCTCTCCAATTTCCCCCCCTTCATTTTTCAAAAAGTCTCAACAGATGTCAAGAAATTGAAATCAAACAGACCACAGTGGCATTAAACTAGAAATAAATAAAGTAAAATGGATAGAAAAATTTTCCATATGAGTAAAAATTAAGGAAAGCAATTCTGAGGAATCATCAGTCAAAATGAAATTATGATAGAAAATAGAAAAGATTTTAACCAGAAAATGAATGTGACATCTCAAAATATATACATAAAGAACAATGTCCAACAAGTGGCAACAAATGAGACCTCAGCCTCTGTCCCCCTCCAAAGATCAATAATTATACAGCTATCCACGAACAAAAATAGCTCTGGAAGAGCTCTGGAGTCCATGTAGGAAACTTCAGCAACGCAGGGGAACAAACACCTGAAATTAATTGCATAGGAAGAGATGGAAGTACAGCTACATTTGCCTGCATCACTCCATCGCCTGGCCAGCAATGCTCCATGCCAAGGAGAAATCTCCAGGTAGAGTTCCCTTCACCAGGGAAGGGAGAGCAGGGGGAGCCACTGGCCCCCCAGCCTTTTGGGGGGATAGGGTAACCGGGTGATGGGTATTCAGGAGGGCACATGTGGTGATGAGCACTGGGTGTTATATGCAACTAATGAATTGTTGAACACTACATCAAAAACCAACGATGTATTATATGTTGGCTAATTGAATGTAATAAAAAAGAATAAATGTTTGGTAAAATTCTCCAGAGGGAAAAAAATTAAAATAAAATAAAATAATAAAATAAAAATAAATAAAATATACACACTAAAAAAAAAAAAAAAGAGTAGTAGCAGCCACACAGCGGCAGTGATTGTGGCAAACAGTGACCTGCCCTACAAGAAAATCCAGCGGATTTGCCACTGAAGAAACCAATGGCCAGCATGGCAGCCACAGAACCCTGCAGATTTCACTGGCTTTTGCCACATGAGTATTTGCATTCACTGTCTCCAGCCACCTGACTCTCTCCCCACTTCTTACCCTCTGCCCACCTGGAGCCCAGGAACTGCACCAGTAGCCAACCCAGGCTTCTGCAGCTGTGCAATTGCAAGATGCCCGTCTAGACCCCCCACGCCTGATCCCCACTGAAGTGCCGTATGCATGCTTGGGGCTGGCCCCGCTCCCTGTGACAGGCCTCCACTAAAGTACACATGCCCCAGAGAAACTGCAAAGCCAAAGAAGGGCCTGCTGACCCCCAGGGCCCCTGCAGCTGCTTGTGGTCCTGGATCAGTCCCCTTCTTCGGTCACTGGCCTGTACCATGGCACTCATCTACAGACAGTCCCTCCTACTGTACAGCTGCACACCCCTGGTCTCACCCCCATCACAGGCCTTCCCTGCCAGGTGCTGGGGACCTAATGTACAGCATGTTGACTATAGTTAACAATAGTGTATTGCATACTTGCAAGTTGCTGAGAGAGCAAATCTTAAGTGATCATCACAAGCTTCTTGAGTCTATAGGTTTATGTCTTCCAACATATTTAAATTTTCAGTCATATTTCCTCAAACATGTTTTCAGCATTGTACTCTTCTCCTCTCCTTTCAGGGCTTGTGGCACAGATATCAGAACTTTGGTTATTGTCCTTTAGGCTCTGTATATGTTTTTTTAGTATATTTTTCTTTGTTGTTCAAATTGGATAATTTCCATGGATCAGTCTTCAAGTTCGTTGCTCCTATCTCTGTCATGTGCATTCTGATATTAAGCCCATTCAGTGAGTATTTAATCTCAGTTATCATGTTCTTTTCAAATTTCTATTTCCTTCTCCTTTATGTCTTCTATTTCATTGCTGAGACTTTCTATTTTTCCATCAGTTTCGAGGGTGTTCTTGATTACTTGCTTCAGAATTTTTATAGTAGCTGCTTTAACGTCTTTGTCAGATAATTCCAACATTTATTTCATCTTGAAACTGGAGTCTGTTGGTAGTCTTTTCCACAGGAGTTGATATTTTCCTTTTCTTTCATATGTTCCATAATGTTGGATTATATCCTGGACATTTTGAATATTATAAGACTCTGAGTCTTGTTAACACCAAATGGAGAAGGTTGATGTTATGTTTTCAAAAATAATTAAAATGGTTAGGTTTAGGCTGAAAAGTTCAACCTGTCTTGGGTGGGTTGTGTTCCAATGTCAGTTCAGTTTTTCAAAGCCTCTTTTTTCAGTTCATTTAGTGCCTCTATGCATATGCACCACCAAGTGGCTAGTCTGAGACCTAGGAGGTGGTGTATCTGTTGGTTCATTTC